ACAGGTAGAATGTTCAGGGAAAGAGAGGTTTAATCAGAGACCTGAATGCTAAGAGGCAACTATTGTAAAAATAGATGGGAAGAGCTTTCCAGACACAGAGAGCAGCTAGTATAAAAACTGTGAGGCAGAACAAGTTCAGTTCTTCCCTCAAACTCCAACAAGGTTAGTGTGGCTAGAGCCAAATAGGGAGGCATTAATCTTTGATGGATGAAGATAACTATTTATGGAACATGTATTATGTGCCACATGCTATATATGTACATTGCATATTTGGAATAACCTTTTGTGATAGGAAACCTATTTTTTTAAATGTGAGGGAACTGAGGATCAGAATTTTTCTAATGTAATCTGTACGGTAAGTCCCCTACATACGAATCTTCAAATTGCGAACTTTCAAAGGTGCGAACACGTGTTCCATCAACATCAGGCGTGAGTGAAATTGCAGCTTGCCCTCGTCTCCTATTGCTGACGATCCTTCAGCTCTACCATCTCCCACCTCTTCTCCCTCCTCCAGTCAGTAACTCTTCTTGCCTGTTCACTCGGTGCCAGCCCCTGTATACCACCTGTTGTACTGTACTACCGTATTTTCAAAATACTGTACTGTAAGATTAAAAATGTTTTCTTTATTTTTTGTGTTTGCTTGTTTTGTATGTATTATTTGTGTGAAGGCTATTGTAAACCTATTACGGTACAGTACTATGTAGCCAATTGTGTTAGTTGGGTACCTAAGCTAACTTTGTTGGACTTACAAACACACTCTCGGAATGGAACTTGTTCATATGTAGGGGACTTACTGTGCACAGCTAGGAGGTGGTAGAGATAGAATCAGGATTCTAACTAGGTTCATCTTATAAAGCCTATTTTTACTTTTTTAACCACACACACCATGGCCCAAAAAAGTCACTATTTCAAGGCCACTTATAGACGTAAATAATTGTCATTTTTAAAATAGATGCTTTGTAAATGCTAACAGCAAAAGGTAATCAAAAGAATTAGGAAATAAGAATACATTCAGAATGATACTAGCATTCCTATACATATAGTAACTAATGCCAGTTTATTATTACAATAGTTCTTTTCAGTTAGAGATTAAATTTACATTTCAAGAATGTTGAGTTACTGTAACTAAATGCTAGTAATTTGAAATATTAGCAGTATTTTTCACAATTTCCAAATATTATTTTATCAGGGGCTGCCAAAAATAACATTTTTTCTGCTATGAAATCTGGAGTTTAAAATTTTCCATTTTTGTAGCTGAATTAGGTAAAAGTTTAGAAATGTTGTTTCTTGTTTATTCAAATACAAGATTACATTTTCTAGAATAGGATTGTTTTTGTGAATGTCATGAAAAACAAAATCTTTGTTTCTCTGGAGTTCCAATTGCCCTTGCTATACATTTACCATGGCTGATGATATCCCATATTTAGAATAACAAAATTAGTTGTGTCACGATTAGGGGGAATTATTTCTGTAGAAGATAAATACATCTCATTTCAGAAGCAGATGATCTCCTAAGAAACAAAGATATTGTTTTAGATGCAAATGTCATCAACTGAAGAACAAAACCAAGAATTTAATGAAAGAAGAGTCCAATTGTTTCTAAATAGAAAGTTTACAATTCACAAGGAATTGTCAATTTCTTTTTAAAGGCACGTAAGAAAACCTTTCTGTATACCTTTTAAAAAAATGTTGCAGAAGTCTGGTCTTCAAAAGAAGTTTATATACCCCATAGCTGATACATGTTGATTCATAATTAAAATCTTGACACCTTGTTTTTACAGGGGAGAGTGAGCATTGTGGTTACTATCTGAGGATGACAAATCTTGAAACAATTAACTTCTCATGCAGTTATATTTTTATATTCTAAGTGTTTGTGTCCAACACTACATTTTATTAAATCAGGGTAACTTTGTGTTATACTCTTACTTTTATAAACAAGAATTTAAGTCCTTTTTTCTGGTCTCTGATATGGACCATTTCACTGAAGAGCACTCATTCATTCATTAAAGAAATATTTATTGAATATTTATTAGGTATCATGCATTCTGTTAGGTGCTGGGAATACAAAGATCGTAAGAAATGGTTTTTGTCCTCAAGTAGCTTGCTATATTTTCTAAGGTGATAGGATATGGAAAATAATCATTACTGTGCAAGAAAATAATTGCTTTACTAGAATTATTTACAGCGTGGTGAAAGGAAAAGGAAGGGTGGTGGGAGGGTCTGGTGACAGTAAAGAGGGAGCAGACTGAGAGGAGGCTGGACACATAGATTGGGATCAGAATGCAAAAGAGTTTAGATTTGATCTCATGGACAAGGAAAAATCACTTTTGAACTAAGAGCAGGGCAATAATGTGATCAGATATAGATGGTCAGAGTTAGAGAGGGATTGGCAAGAAACTAGCCTCTTCCCTTTACTTCAGATGGTATCTCTCACTTTCTTTGAACCTTGCAATTTCTAGTTCATACCATTATTAATGCCAGACTTTACTTGATTAGTAGCTGTTTATCAGACTTGGAATATGTGCCTGAGCACTGCTTCTCTTTTGAAGGGCTCATTGTCAGTATTTTCCCTTCTCCTCTTCTTATAGAAGACTTGTTTACCCATTATGGAGAGATCTTTCTGCAACCTATCATTCATCTAGCAGTGGCATCCTTTACCTTTTAAACTGTTTTTTGTTTTCTTTTTTTTTTTTTTTGGCTGCACTGCACAGCATGGGGGATGTTAGTTCCCCGACCAGGGATCGGACTCGTGCCCCCTGCAGTGGAAGCACAGAGTCCTAACCACTGGACCGCCAGGGACGTCCCTAAACTTTTAATCTGGTAGGAATGCTTTGCTGTTTAAAGATGGTTGAAGGGTATTTAAAAGATACTTCAAAAAGACTGTTAGAAATCGGTTCAAAGCTGATATATTAACTGTACTATATCTCAGGCTCATAGCTGATTTTTAAATAAACTTTAGTTTTAAATGAGCTTAAGTTTTTTCTTGTGGCAAAGACCACCAGGAAAAGAAAAGTTTTATAGTATAAAAATGCCATTTGTTGAAAAAAGGGTATTTTTAAAGTATTTGTTCTCTTCTTTTGATGAACAATTATAGACCTTTATTATTAAAGGGAAAAAAATCGTGTCTTTTTTAAAAGAGGTTG